TAAAGAGATGCAGCACTACAAGGTAGAACAAAAACTAAGGGCGAGGAGTGATGTTACTGCAGATGAAAAGAAAAGGGATTACGTTGATGAGTTGCCCTTCTGTGCTGACGATGGTGTCGCTGACTGACGATTCCGGCGAAACGTTTAACAATGTACCATGTCAATGGTCCGATGCTGAAAATCACGGTTACTATGACAGATGAAGCATGACTAGGTACGTACCACAAGGTCTCTATGACGCTACGACCAAGTTGCGAAAGCGAGGTTAAATCAACACTAAAAAGTAGAAATAAAGTTTCACATTGGAAGTGGGTTGACCTCGTTGACGCAAATTCGTCTTGTTGTCAGGGCGACTTAGTAGAACGCGCCATAGTAGTTGTCATGATTCCCGGCATCAGACCATGGAGTTGGTACATTCTCAAACATTTCGCCAGCATCGTAGTCGGCATCATCAGTTCGCTTTGCCATTCTCCGTACCAAGATGCGAACCCGTCAAAAAGACAAGTGAAGTTAATCCCTCGACAACCGTTCTGCTGGAAACGGTTACACTATCACTCCTCTTTCTGTCATTGTCTATCTATCTACTATTTACACTCTTATCCCACTGCCGCCCCATCATAACTTCTCACTTGTTTACATTCCAATCGTCAAAATGTGTGCCATTTTGTGACAAACCGAGTGTGGCCTCATCACACTTGCTATCTACCCCGACCCCTCTCTTTCCTTATTTTTCTGGTTGACCGATTTCACTCGGGTCCAGTCCCTGCGTTCTCCATAGTCGCCCTGACAACAAGACCAAGTTGCGAAAACGAGGTCAACCCACTTCAATAAATCGAAAGGAGACTGCGACCATAACACAAGCCACAACATCATGGTCTTCATATATTCACATTAGAACTCTAGCTCGAGATCAAACATAGTGTCCACATCGACACCAGAATGCTTTGCGCCAGTTCCACTTCAAATCTATGGGCTAAGCCTCTGAGGCACCACATTCCCACGCCAAATCTTCTCGATACAGCTTCACATCACATCTTTTCACACCACCTTGTCACACATTCGTGCAACATCTTCGTGTCAAACAACCTCAACACACTTTCACACCACACCTCCGTGCCATACTAGCTGAACACGACGACCACTTTATACAGACAATCTCTCCGACGCACATCAACGCGAAACAGACCTCTGCTCATCATTTTTACCCCACATCACCGCCACACATTAGCACCACACTTTATGGCGACATCACCACAACACATTGCAGTCACACCTTTGCGCCTTGCCTTCACACCGAGCGCTTTATGCCGCGTCTTTCCGCCACACTACATCTCTTTGGACCACACTTATCCGCGAGACATTTCGATTATCCAGCCTATCCTTATTTCACTATTACCCACCCAACTGCTCTGTAGACGCTTTATGTGATTCTTATGTGGCCACATAGCTTATACTATGTTTGTGCCTTTGCATTGCATTATCAGGATTGTTTCTACTAGCCTGCTTAGACTAGTGGTCCCTTCTCTTTTGCTGCCCACCTAATGGCTTAATATGGGTACGTATTATCTATAAAGGCAGTCTGAATCGTGAGAAATAGAATGGGAATGTTACGAAAGCTAGTTATTACTTACGTTAGTAGACCCTGAAATTGCATTAATTAACCAAATATCCATTTAGAGGGAGGAGTATGAATGTAGATCGTTAATAATTTAAGTGTGCATGAAATATCCACTTGCTTAAAAACGAATCCCGACTTTTGCTAATCAGAAGAGGCAAAGTAAGCGAGTATTCCATAGCCTCCGAGAAGCAGTAATGACTGAGCATGCATGATTACATAACCTCACGAAGATAGTGTTGAGCCACCTTTAGAGGGGGGCGTCCTACCAAGTCTCCATGGCTAGGCTTCTAATAAAGACGTCACTTTGCATACATCTGATGTCAGCCAAAAAGTTCAATTTCTGTATTACGCAATTGTGGTAATACGTTGATCTGGGTTGGCCCAGCTAATTAGAATACTCACTGGAGTTTCATATACACACGCATTTATACCTACATACAGCCATACAGGCATGCATGCATTTACACAGCAATACAAACATACACAGGCACACACACAAACACGCTTGCACACGAAAATAGACCAGCTAA